TAGCTTTAAAAACGGGTGGACGCTGCTTTATGTGCTTACAACGCGATCAGTTAATCGTGTATTTGATAAAACTAACCCGGGAAACTAACGTTTTTGACACTCACGCTGAATTTTTACCGAGCTAAAATGTTTCAGATCTCCACCCAAGTATTATGAACTAAAAGATATTTTTTGAATTTCACAGCGTAATCAGACCAATTTAAAACAATGGAAGTCAATAAACCTTAGAGAGTATATCACCAGATTGCCATTATAAAGCCGAATTTCAAATCTCACGCACAGATATCGATAGTCTTATTAACCGATTGAACTGAAATAGGATTCAACTCCGCCATATTTTGCTCCGAGTTCAACCCAAAGAGCCTGCTTCAAGTTCCTTCCCACAGTCCTTCACTTCTTAGCCGCTGACTCCCGCTGACCAGTTATAAGACGTTTCTAAACGTGACAAGCGAACAGCGTGGTTTTTTATGTGAGAGTAAGCGTTGTTTCAAGCGAAGAATTACTCAACTTTTTCACCATGGCGGTGAGTAAATTAATTTTACCGATCAATAATGGTTATTAGCTGATAAGGCTACTACAAAATTTCATGGTTTGTGGGGTTCAGTTTGTTGAGAATTGGGGTGTACGATCAAACTACTCTTTGATCGGTTGGTGTATGTCAGTTTTCAATACACTAATTCGTCCTGACAATTTTAGAGAAGTACGAAAGATCATCAAGCCCTCAACCTTTTTGAGCGTTTGATGTTTCTTATCAATTCTTGTCTGATGTGGCAAAAATGAAAAAAAAAACCATCCTCGAATTCTCAAAACCCGATCCATTTCGAGACATATTAAAACTTAACTTGGTGGATTCATTTGCAGTATACACGCTTACAGTTGTCGCATTTGCCTGCTGGAATTTTTCATTGTTCCAGCGGCAAAATGCGACAGTTATACGCGTATACTGCAAATGAATCCACCCTTTGCTTCTAATGGGATGTACTATTATACTAAGCTGCAGCGACTGTAGTAAAGGCTTTCACCAACAAACTGCAAGACAATTGAAAACCATGCAGTGGAGGTCCATACAGATCACTGTGTTTACCAGAGCATGGCAGAAATTAATGAGATCTGAACATGCACTGCTATCCTGCAACTTGGAACGAGAATATTGTCTACATGTTAACAAGTTGTGAGGAGCAATTTCTTCATACTACATACAAACTGCTGTAAATAGTGTAGCCTGAGAAAACAGCGGACATTGTGGGATGCCATTACTGGTTTGTCCGTCTGAAAAGCAGCTTTACTGCCAAGATCTGGATAATACTTCTGTTGGCTGAAGCAAATTTCCCACATGGAACAACCAATCAGAAGCACTACCCAGATCTGGGTAGTGCATGTCATTAGTATAGAATTTGTGAGCTTGTTTGTCAGATGTCATTTGCGGGTAAACCAGTGGTGGAATCACAAAATATCTGCTGGTTTTCAGGCTATAAATAATGATAATAGGACTGAGTGGAGTCCATTTTGGTCTGTAATCATACAAGTGATTAACAAAATTGGATGATTGCTTAGTGGGAGTCCGATTTGTTTTTTCTAATATTAAAACGCGAGAAATTCCAAGAGTTTTTTGCTAGCAGTGAAAAAAGGCTTTTAAACAACATGTGCTTTGGTAAGTTCTGTCCAATTACAGGTATAATGTGTACTGTCCTATTAGTGCTGAAATCACGACAGTTGATAGCCAATCAGATTTGAGAATTTTGTTATAGTTATGATTGATAGTGTAATGATATTAATTCATGACTGGTTTATTCTTTAGACTATGCCTTTAAATCCAAAACCCTTCCTTAACGGGTTAACAGGAAAAGCCGTGATAGCAAAGCTTAAATGGGGACATGAATACAAAGGATATCTTGTGTCTGTGGACGGATACATGAACCTTCAGGTATGGCATATGAAGGGTAGGCGGCATCACATACGAAACTAAACTCTGGGTTTAGTCTTTCTGTGAAACAGCGCCAAAATCCTTGTCCTGGGCCCAAACCTGTATACCAGGATTTGAGTACAGGCCATAATTAGTTTGTTAAAAATGCCATTGCTGATTTGCCAATAAAGATGAAAGGAAATTCAAAACGCAGTTGTTGTTATTTGTTGAGTCTGTTGTGGGCCAAGAACAAGGATATTGGCACTGCTTCACAGACTTTACTTACCGAGGTTAAATTACGTCTATAATGCAGGCTAATGAATGGCAGATATAATTTAGGTAAAGTCCATTTGCAGGTTAACCCAGAAATCTCCTTTATTGGGGTTAAGAAACGAAAGAAGTTCTGAATCAAACTAGGTTGAATACTGGCTTAATGTGATAGCGGATTTTACTTATAACATGTTAACAATGAAAGGCCAGGGAGGCTTCTCCCTTATTTGTTCTAAATGAGGCTAGGGTCATAACAAAAGGTCTTGAGTGTCTTTAACAGGGTAGATGATGCTATATGATGTGTAATGAAGGATTTTTGTCTAACAACTGGATCAGGGTTTGAGGGCCTTGGTTGCACGCCCCTACATAAACCTCCTTTACACAATGATTTGGGGATAGCACATCCAAAAAGTGGTTCTTCTTCTGCCTGATTCCGGTTGAATTGGAATTTGGAAATGTAGAAAAACCTCTCGGAGCAAGGGAGAGAACCAACAACAAACTCAACCCACATATGGCATCGACGCTGAGATTTGAAGCCGGGCCACATTGGTGGGAGGTGAATGCTCTCACCACTGTGCCATTCCTTGCTCCCTAGGACTGAAAAAGTGTGAGGGGTTAGTCCCTATAAGTGATTTTTGATCTTATGTTAATTTTTTTCCTAAAACAAATCTTTTGCAATGTTTTTTGACCTCACTACCCTTACATTCACTGATAATTTTTCTAAAAAAAGGATTGGTACTGTGAGAATCTGTTAAGTACAAATGTAGGTTTTTCTTGTTGGCAACTGTGATCATTTAGCATTGCTTTTTTTGCAGCTTGCCAACACAGAAGAGTATATTGATGGGAGCTTAGCAGGTAACCTTGGGGAAGTTCTTATCAGGTAAGTTTTATTTGTTACAGTTACAAGTTATAGTTCCATGCAGATAAGAAAAAAAAACTTTTGTAGATAGAAACTGAAATGATGGCAGCAGTAACGAAGGTGGTGGCACATGGCCTGTATAATGTATTTCTCAGATTTCTCAAATACACGGCCCAAACAAAATTTTCTGTATTGACCTTGTTAGAAACATGAACAAAACTGAAGCTCAAAATGATTGTGGGATCATTACTGGGGTTGTGCCGAGGACCAGCTTTTGGCTATTTGCTTTCACCCTGTCCCCAGTAAGAATCCCAGAAGTCTTTGCAAAAGTTAACTAGTCCCAGTCTCCCTCTCTTTTCCAGAGTGGCAGATTAAAAGGATAGGAAATATCAGACTTAATGTATTTAAATGTCAACCTTTTCTTGTACTTAATAATAATTAACGATAGAATGAGGTTATTTTGGGTATTATTTTTACCAGGTGTAACAATGTTCTGTATGTGCGTGGAGTGGATGAGGAAGAAGAGGATGGCGAGATGAGAGAATAATATTATTGGACTGTCATAAATATTTTTTCTCTGTATTATATTTATTGTTGTATGGAAATTTTGTGTTCCTCTAGCTGAGAGTTAGGCTCTTTCCATTTCATTGAGTGTCATCTAAAGCAAATTTTTATTCACTCTAATTGCAATTCCTTGGATTGTATTCAAGTGCTCACAAAATAGAAAAAAAAATTCCATTTCCTTTTTCCACTATTACATAATGTAGTGTAAGTCAAAGCTTTGTAAGACAGCTGAAAGAAAGTTTTGAAATAAAGGTATTTCTTTTATACTAATCATCCTTTAAACTCAAATTCTTACTTTGTCAAATAATATACAGTCAATGCTCTTCTTGTGACCGCTCTTGCAAGCAAACAACTCTAGGAATCACCAGCATTGGGAAACCCCATTTGAATTGTTCACAAGCGACCTTGGCCACTTCGGTGAATAACAAGTTGTTTCGTTGTTTGTTTGTTTGTTTCCTTTTAGTTCAGTGACCAATCAATCAACCCTTGACTAAAAGCATTTCTTGTAGTGTTGGGTTAGGTAGTGCATAACATAAGTGTGATGGCTGGTTAACTTCAAATCTGATGAGTAAGAAAAAAAACCTATTCATTTCAAAATTATTTGAGTGAATGTATGGGTAATTAACACCACATGCCATCGCCATTACCGTTTGTCCCCCAATATTTAGCATTAAACACTTAATGACTGGTCCTGAAGGAAACAGTTAATTTTGTTTCCCAAGAATCTCAAAGTTCGGAAACATTGAGATTTGAGGGAAGCATAATTAACTGTTTCCTGAGGGACCTGTCTTTAAATGATTTGTTATATAGCTGGAAATTCAAGAAACCTTGCTGTGTGCATGATGTTGGGAAAAAATTTCCAGCCAAAAAACAAACACTATTGTTTCATATTCCCGATTGCATTTGAAAACAATAAATCATGCAAAATTTTAATGCCAAACTGGGTGTATTATGGGGGATTCCAAAATAGTCAGTTGGGGCATATGTTGCCCAGGCTTCCCTTGATGCAATACAACCACAACAACGCGTCTGGCATCCCAAAACGGCTCAAAGATCACTCAGTGACTTGCGACGATTGTCAATCGTTTATTTTATTTTTTATCATTTTAAGCTCTTCATTGCCGGTTTAACAAGAATTCCCCAAGGCTGCGGAAAATTTAGGACAAATCTCTTACTTACAAAACGTTTCATCAACGCTTCACGTACTGCCAAGTTTTTAAGACAATATACAAGGCAATTACACAAAAATATATCTTTTATGTCACATTTTTATTGATAAATAGACTATAAACAAGTCGTATTTATAATCAAGGTCAACATTTTTACAGTTCGTTTAAATGCTAACCATGCTTTAAGAAACTGAAAAGTGAACTGAAGTATTGAAGCGTTGTACAAAGACTACATTCATGTAAAGAAGTATTTGAGTTCTTCCTCTTCTTTATCTTGTTTCTTATCGGAATCCTGTTGTTTTCTTCGCCTTTGTGGAGGTTCAGAACGGAACATGAGGGGTTTTCCAGTCTGAAAGAAGAGAGCCAAAAACAAAACTCAAACCTATTTGATATAATCTATGACCATAAGTCAACACGTTGTCAAAAACTGAGGGGCTTCAACTTTCTAAAAAATGCAATGAATCTCGATCTACTTTTCCTTGTTAAAAATAACCCTTTTTTTAAGTTTTTACTTAAGTTTAAAGTAATTCTTTTGTGCGGACATTGGGGCCAACAGTTACCCCAGAATAACATTCAGACTTGAAGATGCTTTTCACTTCATTTTTAGAACATTTTCGTAGCAAAGATAATTGAAATTTATGTCCATGGCGTATGCTTCTCCGTCGTTGTTTCCTTGAAATAGCGACTTCTTGTCTTCACAGTTTTTCTTAAATGGGGTATTCTTAAGGGCAACATAGCAAACCACTGCTCCAAACGTAACTTGGTCAGCAGTGCAAAATTGCTTACTAGGTAAGGGGAAGGGCTCTTTTTCCTTTTCTATTAAACTTTGTAGAAGGTGTCGCAGGCTACCAAACAAAGAAAATAGGACTTCATCACAAACCTTTTTCTTGGGTTCAGCCTGAGCTCGTTCTAGAGCCCTTCTGACTCTATCCTCTTGGTGCAGTCTTTGTTGCTCCATCTTCTCCTCTCGAAGGCGCATGCGTCGTTCTTTCTCTTTTGCCTGGAAAATATCACGTTACGGGTCGATCACTATTCACTTGATCATGTAACTAAGTCTTAGTCTTAGGTATTTTACGACGTTGCCTCACTAAACGGAAAGATCATACAAACTGCCGCATTGTAAACTACTCAATTTAATCAATGAAATGGACGTAGATACTTGGTTACAGAAATTATAAGAGACAAAGCCAGTGTCTAGATATCACCGCAAAATTACGCGTTCATCGGAACTAAAACAGGGTGTGGGGCAAAATTATTACCATGCAGGATTTCATAACGTTTCACTGAGTGATGTTTCGATTTGAAAGCAGCTTGTTGTTGCTTACTGAATTTTGTAATTTTTCTCATCTAACCTTTTCAGCCATCTCTACTCTGTCTGGGGGCATGACTTCTATCTGTTCAAAAAGTTCCTCCAGGCGATTTTCAATGTTTGTAAGCATTTGTAGAGTGCTGCGAATACAATCAATAAACATTAATACTTTGAGCAGCAATAACATTTCACATATTCTACTCTTTTTGTCTCCAAAAAAGTTGTTTAAATATCTAGAGCACTCAACGATCAAACTGGTTTGCTTGGTGTCGTGATCGTTCTTGCTATCACACATCACTGTTTCAGAGGAATAGATAAAATTTTACAGATACTTTAAAGAATAATGGACGTTAAGCAGGGTTGTTTTCACTTGGAAGATCGCGCTTTTCGGGTCACTATAAAGACTTTACCGAAACCGAGACCGGAGACCGCGCGTGAAGAGTCTCCAGCACCCTAGCGTGTTCACAGACCCTCTATTTTTTTTCTTCAAAGTCCGTTGAGCGAGCGTGATAAAAAATAAAAACCGCGGGGGATTTATTGACCGCCAGCGCAAGGGGTAGGGAGGAACGAAAAGAAAAGAAAAATAAGGTCTTTGTACAGGCTACTGGCAATCAGGGAATGTCTCCCCCGCCCGTAACGGACTCGTATTATTATCCGCTTGGATAGAGGTGTTTTATCGAATCCTTTTGAACCGCAAAATCAATGTCGCGTTGTTAACCAACATACTAACCAACCAAGAGGACAGACAGACATGGAAGACCCCACCTCCCCTCCAAAAAAAAAAGAGAAAGAAAAAAAAGAAAAGAAGATAAGAACAGCCGAGACAAAAGAGTTCCTAAAGATGTAACAAGCAAAATTTTGGCCTTGTGACATTATGAATTTATTCATTAATGGTGTCCCCCGGGGCCTTGATAGGCAAAAACAACAACTGTATGCACGTGCAGCACACTTTTTTCAACATTTATTTGCCGACTACGAGTACGACGAGAAGATGCCTAATTTTACGTTTTATGGAGGACAACATAGAACAACAACAGACGGGAGTTCGCCTTCATTGAACAAGGTCAGTGAGTTGGAATAGTCGCGATAAAGATTGAAAGAACGCGCATTTGCTTTTTAAGCGAAGTGTCAGCCGCTTCGCCGTCCTTGGATTGTAAGAAGGTTCCTACAATCAAACGCAAACAAGGGATAAAACTACAGCCTAAAAAGTCTGCTCTCTTTAAGGTTGATCAGCTTTGTCAGTCAGACGTTCACCAGAGGGCTATGGTAGGCGCTATATTGGTACAGGGAAAATTAATCCACCCTTTAGACATAATTTCGGGTTGTCATACGACAACTTTACACCGTAAAACGTGCGCGCTCCTTTGTTTCATCGAATAATCTTTGTTTTAATTACCTTATATTTGCTTCGTTATCACCAATACAATTTCGATAAACTTCTTCCACTTTTTTGTTGAGCGTCTGTAGCATTTTTTCCTGAAGAGCAACAAAAGAAACTGAAATTAGGCAAAGTTCAGGAAGGAGAACAAGATAGTCTTCCCTTTTAAAAATGGGTGCTCATCTTGGTGAATTTTGGGGGGACATCTTCTTTCTCGCGTTTGAACAGTTTCAGTTTCAAAGATTTTCAGAATTGAGCAGCGCCTGTCAAAGATTACAAATCAAAGCTTTCAATTTTAAGTTATTTACAAGAAATTTAGCATTCCCGGTTGGCGCAGCGCCATTACTTGTTCTTTCGAAATTAGTGGTTTAAAATGGTGACATACGACAGCAGCTTAATTACCTGATCTTCAGCTTTAAATTCGCCATATGAAAACATTCTACATGAAAACAAAAAGCAATAAAGACATATTTTTATCTGGTTGACAGACTGGAAGAGAAACAAAAACAGAAATAAAAATGTTCATAATTTATAAACTCGGTTCTCTGCACAAAATAATGATTGTACTCATCATAATTAGCTTACTTTGATTTCATTTCCAACTCCTTCGCTCTTTCTTCTTCTCTGTTAATGGCATCATTTAAGAAGTCAATCTGACCTTTGAGAATTTCAGTTTCACGGTTCCTGTGGAAATAAATATACTTTGTAACTTCCATTTTGAGAAAAAAACGTGTCTGTCCTTTATAACATTTATTTTATACAGCTATTTCGAGAAAGGTTGTCGGATAAAGTGCACGCGACAACCCCGAAAGGTATTGTGGGTGGTTTTGAGTTCACTGTTTTTCAAATAAATTTTAAAGAATGGCAGGAGAGGCCATGGACATATGTCTGCGAGTGCTAAAGGAAAGCAGCAAAAGTAGGTTCGACAGCTACAGTGTCAGGAACAGTGTATTGAACATATCCCATATTACCTTTCGGGATTGTCGCGTGTACATTTTTTCCGACAACCTTTCTCGAAATAGCTGTATTCCTTTCTGGCGCAAACTCGTGCTATAATGTTCTCAAAACAGCCCGTTCACACTAATGCACTAATGCGGCCTTCCGTCCACACCAATACGCACAGCGTTTTCATCAAAAATGCATGGATTTGCAGTGAAAACGCTCTTGAAAGTGGATCAAAACCAGAACAAAAACATAACCTATCAGTATGGACGTTTGAAAACGAATGAAAATGAAACGATCACCGAATTTATCGCAGGCGTATGTGTTTGAAGCATGTACACAGAGTTCAACTTACGTCACAATGTGCAATTCTATCGTTTTCAAACGTTTCAGTGTGGACATTCGAAAACGCATCAAAACGTTAGTCTGAGTGGACACGAATCGATCGATGCGTTTTAGATGACAACACCTTTGAAAACGCATTAGTGTGGACAGGGTCTAAAAAAACAAAAACCAAATTGACAGTGACGGAGTTCTTACATTCTATCTTGCGTTTGCTTAATTGTCTGCCGCAGTTCCTCGAGTGCTTCTTCGGTTTCCTGGCTGTTTTGGATAAGAGACAAATTCTGTTCTTCTAGTTCAGCAAATATGTCGAGAAGTTGCTGAGGGTCAGCGAAAAATAACTCGGGCTCCTGTGAGAAATAGACAAAATGAATCCTAAAGTTACATCGAGAAAAAAGTTACACGACAAATCCACGGAGGGTTACTGGGACCGGGGGTGACGACGAAGATGCTCGTCATCTTGCTTAGCGGTGTAAATTGCAGAGTTTGATCTCACTCAGGGTGTTTGGGACGTAAAGTCACTATTATTACCCATTCAGGTATCGCTTAGGGCTCTGCATAAAGAAATTTACAAAAAATGCCGTGAAACTGATAATGTAGTACTAATAATTATCATAATATAATAAGAACTGAGCTTACATTATCGCTCTCTTCTTCATCCGTGTCGTACAAGGAAGCTGAACTATCTTCAGCATCGCTCCTTTGACTTGAGATTTAACGAAATTGAAGCAAGTTAGTTACGATGAAAAATGCTGGTCCCAGCTCTTTTGTATAATGCAAAACAATACAGCAACAACCACGACAACGAAAGATAGCTCTCTAGAACTAAACGGGACCTAAGCGACCGGCTCGTGTAATTTCTTGCGATAAAACACAAAATAATGAACACTTACTGTTTTCCTTGAGGACTGCCTGCGAGTTTCTGCGGACAGAATTAATGAAAATAGACTTTTTCATGCATTTGTGTGTCAAAACATTACATTTGTTTGTAAAATCTTTATGTGCAACTATACCTCACAATTTGTCAGTGTACGATTATGTAACACAGTTGAAATGAGTACTCATCTATTTTGTTACTAAAGAGTTAACCCTGCGTCAAGCCACATGTAACTCCAAGTTCATGCACTAGAAGTGCGATAACCCTAATCCGGTTTGTCTCGCTTGTGGAACTAGAGATATCCAACTTCGCTACTTGTCCACTACACATTCCTTTTAGTAATGGCCTCCACTGTATTAAGATGAGCAGATAGCTTCTGAGGGTAAATTATAATTGTCAAAAATTGTTGTTTTTGTTTTTTATTTGTTTGTTTTTTTACTTCCACCATCATATAGAACTGGTAGACTACGAGCAGTCTCTCTTTTTTCTGTAGTCCGTCAAGCAAAACGCGAGACACGCAAATGGCCACGCGCGTGACTGATGGCGCGAGACGGGTGGAAATTACATGTACTCACTAAAACCGCCACTTTAAGTACCCACATGCTCCTTTTTCAAGATCAAAAGCGAATTTTCGCAGTTTAAAGGGCTAGTTTCCAAAACTAAGAAAAACTAGGAAAATCCAATGAGAGTAGCTACCAGACTTTTGGCAAGGAAGAAAAGCCCCGCATAAGCTAGGTTCACAAATTTAAATTAGCTAAAAGGTAGGAAACATAACCTATCTGATCAAGTCTACTTACAGAGCTTGTTCTGCTGTCCTTTTGGCTTGTGCGACTGGATGTTCTGCCAGAACTGTGTATGGTTACTAGAATAGTTTGGGAGAGAGGTAGAGTTACAAGAGGTTAGAAGGTTAAGTTTGATGACATATGGGGTTGGAAATTCAAGATAGGTGTGTAGATATTTCGGAAAAACAGACTCACTTTTCTTTTTGTTCACTGAACCTCTCTCCTTTTGCTTTGCTTTCTGAGAAAGAAGGACAAATGAATATCCAGAGTTACGTTTTATCATACAAAATAGTTGGAAGTAGTAGCATAGTAACCCACTCGACCNCGCGTGACTGATGGCGCGAGACGGGTGGAAATTACATATACTCACTAAAACCGCCACTTTAAGTACCCACATGCTCCTTTTTCAAGATCAAAAGCGAATTTTCGCAGTTTAAAGGGCTAGTTTCCAAAACTAAGAAAAACTAGGAAAATCCAATGAGAGTAGCTACCAGACTTTTGGCAAGGAAGAAAAGCCCCGCATAAGCTAGGTTCACAAATTTAAATTAGCTAAAAGGTAGGAAACATAACCTATCTGATCAAGTCTACTTACAGAGCTTGTTCTGCTGTCCTTTTGGCTTGTGCGACTGGATGTTCTGCCAGAACTGTGTATGGTTACTAGAATAGTTTGGGAGAGAGGTAGAGTTACAAGAGGTTAGAAGGTTAAGTTTGATGACATATGGGGTTGGAAATTCAAAATAGGTGTGTAGATATTTCGGAAAAACAGACTCACTTTTCTTTTTGTTCACTGAACCTCTCTCCTTTTGCTTTGCTTTCTGAGAAAGAAGGACAAATGAATATCCAGAGTTACGTTTTATCATACAAAATAGTTGGAAGTAGTAGCATAGTAACCCACTCGACCGTGAAGTAACCGTATGCCCGTGCTGATCCACGTTCCTTGTGTGCACCGTGAAGTCATCAGTTCTCACGGTCAAGGACAATTTTGTCTTCAAAAAAAAATCTCTCAAACCATGCTAGAATAAGCGCAATAATTCAGTCGAGGAGAGCAGAGAAAATCAACAAGTAAAGTTGACCAGAAAATTCCAAAGAAAATTGTTCCACTGGTGACTACCTACCTGTACTTCCTTCCATATCATAAGATCCTCAACGCTTTCCCAAAAACGTTTCCCACCGAAATTAAACAGAGAACTCAAAGACCCAACACAAGAGAAAAAATGTGGCAAGACAAGCGCAAGAAGAGTGGAGCATTCCCGAACTTAAGAAGCTCAAAGAAGGCCGGCCGCGGAGTGCTCGACCTATAAGACGTGTTTTGGGCAGTTTTGGCTGACTATTTTACAAAATTCCCAAGAGCAAATGAGTTATTAAAAAATGAGCATTTACCTTTGTCTCTTCTTTAACTTTTCGTTTTTCATCTTTCCATTCCTGTTGGTGAGAGCAGAACACAAAATTATGAGGACCTGGCCGACTAACAAAACGAAAATCAAGGTTTTAGCGGCATTACCTGGGGCGTCAGGGAGTCAAGAAACTGTTTGTATAACATGTATTCCTTTAGCGTGTCTTCATTTTTAGAGATTTCACTAAAATGAAAAAAACAATATTGAGAAGGAATTTAGGGTTAAATATTGAAATACCTCACAGCAGGTAGAGTTAAACGGCTGAGATGTCAAAATCAATCATCAGAAGTATTAATCTGCAGACTGACCTATCCGATCAATCATCGATTATAAAAAGCGCCTTTATATTAAGAATTCGATTTACAACAAGAACGGTATGCTCTCTTGCAGTACACATGATCAGAAGTGATTTAACAAACATCCTAACAGGCTCTTTCCCCCTCCCCAGTCCCCTAATTGGCTTGCTTTGCTCACCAATTCTTTGCATCCCATTATTCAGCTTTTTGCCCCAATAGGGAGCCTAGTCTCGAACTTATTGACCTTTAGAGAGGAATCTAGCTACTTTATACAAGGTCATAGCAGATGACTGACAAACAGCAGAAATCGATCAACTCCACATGTCCATAATTTTTAGGATTACAAGTGTACACTTCAAAGTTCATTTTATTTAACAGAGATGTCCCTTAGACATAATGTATATTAAAAATATATTAAACAAAAAATAAATGCTCATTGCATGCAGCAGTTCACCTTTTAATTGCCATCATTTGTGCATTGATTTTCTTTATCTCAGCCACTTTTTCAAGCTTCAGTTTAGTTTCAGCTTCAGCACTATGGAAATCAAGAAGATAAAAAAATATATATAATATATTAAACAGCATGAAAAAGTGAAAGAAAAAGATAGACAGTGTTCTCAGGTTTTGATCTCAGGTTAAGAACTATAATTTGCTGACACTTACATTTTAATAGCCTCCACAGAATTCTTGTCATTTTCTTTTAAGAATTCATCAAACATTGCAGCATCTTCTTCAAGGTACTGCTCTGCAAGCTCAAGTTTCTTTTCCTCTGCCTAAATGAGGAACAGAATATGACAACTGTTGAGTTCTTTAATTTACATTTTAATTGTGTAATTAACAATAATTATGCAGTTTTCATACTAAGTCAGAGGTACAATTTTATCGTAATAACAGTAATCATATAAATATTTGCAATTCTAACAGAGTGAAAGATTATAACACTTTATTACTTTTACACAACTTAGAGAGTTAACAAGCTGAAACCTAGTAAATGATCATATAATTAATAACAATAATAATTAAAACTTAATTAAAATCTTCCCTGGCTTATGAGGCTTTTCAGGGATAACAAGCCAATAATTTAAATGGAACATAACATACCAGTATATGGTTAAGAATCCCAACTGGTTCTATAGCTTATAGGAGATGAACCAGTTGGCTATTTACAAGTGTGGCCGAGGATTTGAACTTGGGACTACCGAGAACAAATCCAGCAAGAGGTTGGGGCAAAACTGGAACTCAGGGCCTCCAGATTACAAATCCAGTGCTCTAACCACTCAGCCACCCTGCCTCATAATTCATCCTATGCAGTTTCGTACCTGTGCAATTTCTTCCAGTTTTCTCATTTCATCACGTTTCACCCCTAACGAATACTGAAGTGACAAAAATGAGACATAAATTAATCCAAGGATTGCTTCGTTAATTATACATGTTGTATTTTTTTTATCCTTCACTGACTTCACTTCACTTCACTGACTTTTTCACAAGATTTTCAAACAAAAACGTACCTGAACCAGAAACATTTCTCTTTTCTTGGAAATAAAGTCTGCTAAATTTTCTTTTTCTACGTGGCGATCTAAAACAGAAGAAACGATAAGCAACTGAAAAGCTGTATTGCACACCTACTTCATAAAACTACTGAAAAGTCTGAATTTTGTTAGCTATATAGCAAACTAAGTATATAAAGATTACATGTATATTTCTGCATTCTATTTATTTTTGCCTACCTCTTGTGATTGCCAGAGTAAACTGTGGATCATCTTTTACAGCAATGACTCCATCTTTTTCCTTTTTCTTCTCTTCCTCAACAAATTCATCTTCACTATCATCTGCTATTTTTCTCATTGCTGCTGTTTTTGTGTTGACACGTGATGCGTAGGTAGTTTTTTCATGCACTTTTAACTTACGCTGATTAATCCTTTCCTACAGTATCAAAACAAAAAAAATCACTGATAACTATATTTCCAACTAAGGCCATATTAATGTATACTAGCATTGCTACCTGGACTAAATTTTTGCTAACTTTCCACAAAAGTTTTGAGAAAACGAAAAATAATACACTCTTTCTCCAACTGCACATGTTCTAGCTCAACATTACACACTGTAACTGTACAGAGTACAAAAATAAGGAAGTAAATGATCAAACCTGTTTCTTTTTCTGTCTTTCCCTGTCTCTCAACATGAATACATCATTGTCTTTTGGGATAGTAAATGGATTGCGGTTTGGATTCACCACAGACTCTATCACTGAGAACAAGAACAAACGACTGTCACTTCAGGTTTTAGAATCAGTAATGCCCTTAATACTATTTTGAAATAATGATTCTAAACCACAAGTTCTTATCAACTCACTGGGAGAAAAAATAAATTAAAAAAAGAATAATAATAATACAGTCAAAGCTCCTTTAAGCGGACATCCTAGGAGACCATAAAAGGTGTCTGCACCTGTACAATGTACAGTCTTGTCCATCATGTGTTTTTTTTTGTGTGTGCTTGAAGTATCATATCCTTGGGAACATCTTGAATAAGGACGTTCCATTCTAGATATATATTTCTATATACAGGTATGTGGGCTGAGTACAACCCCTCCTTCTGCTTTCGAAGCACTGTTTGGCACTGGGAAAACATTACCGTTTTCAACGCCATATGTACATCTGTTAAGTCTGTTTAACTAAAATCAGTGCAGTTTACCTGACAAGGCAGACTGATTGCCAGGAGAGCTTGACTTCACCGACTGAAAGGCAGCTTTTTCTGACTGGCGTGAGGCAGATTGCCCTCCTGTACAGCAAAACATAAAAGCAGCAGTGAAAACTTGTATGCCAAGGATTAAACTTAATATATTTATCTAATATAAATACACAAGGCTGGTAAATCTGATCGTAAGAGCTCAAAGTCAATTTTTTAGTACATACCTGAGCGTGGTGGCTTATTAGAACCTTGTGAAGGTGATTGAATGGACATCGTTGGGTATAAGAAACAGATCGTATCAAGTTTTAAATGGTATCAAAATTTCCGTTGACCATCAGCGCGTTCCAAAAAGCAGAATAAGTGAGACTAAAAATTCTCTGAAGTTCAGCTATATTCCTCCTTGTTAAAACTTGCAAAATAAATGTATTGGATCGAATGTTAAACGGTTTTAAAGCAAAGCAAATTCCTTCTGATACAAGCAAATTTAGATGGAAGCCATTTTTGTTTAGAATGATAACGAGGTTGCTGTTGCTATAGAAACACAGCTGAAAATAACACGCATGCTTTTATGAAGGAAACAGCTGACTGCTATTTATTTTTCGAGAACTGTGAAATGTTCACGTGTTTTTAAAGAAACTCCAATTTTATCCTTTAACGATGTACAGCCTTCGAATTCGACACGCAAGACAAGTAGTCTTGGTTTGCAACAACAAAGAGCGAATTTTGACAGGAAATTCGATGAAAAAATTGGCCATCGTCGAAGGAGGAGAGGATGGAGGCGTGTCTATTGTGGTTAACGCGGGAAAAATTGAATGCATTGCTTTGGATCGAATCATTGATCAGAAATATGAAAACTGTACTTTTGTAGAAGAAATAGATGCTTCTGGGATGTGTGTGCTACCGGGTAAGTTGAATATGTAGTTATCTGGAAGTATGCTGGTGCAACTGACCAGTTAGATATTTTAATACTTAATGAAGAGGCCATTTTAGAAAACAAATTAAAGGTGGATCTGGCAAAAAATGAGCGTATTTAATATTGTTGTGCTGTTTTGATGTTGTTATTGTTTATTTGTTTTTTTCAATCATAACATAAGCGGTATGGTCCATAAGATAATTCTGGGCCACCTGGTACCCTCCTGAATAAATCGGGATAACCCTCCGCCCCCCTCCCCTCTGCAGGGAAGGATAAACACCGGCATTAATGGGGGGAGGGACACTTTCATGTATTTTGTCTCCTCTCTCCACCTGACGCCTTCCCCTTAAGGCTGGTTTTCACTAGCAACAGAGTGGGAGTCATAATCAGAAGCATAGGAGTTAATAATCTAGTGAAAACAACGTTCTGATTCTGCTTATGGCTCCATTGTCTATGATCAAGACAGTGAAAACCAGGTTTTCAGAGTTGCAAGCAGAAGCTGAAGAACTAGACCAGTCACAAAGTGTGGGAACATGCATTGTTATTGGTTAATCCTTCTGACTCCGACAATCTGGTTTTCACTAGATTGTTAACAATGGAGTCATAAGCAGAGTCAGAAGAAAATGGAAACATTCTGATTCTTCCGACTCCATTGCACTTATGACTATGTTTATGACTCTGATTTTTTTTCTCAAGGTTATTTTAAAGCGCTCTTACAACTCTGCTTACGATTCAGACTCCAACTCCGTCGCTAGTGAAAACCAGCCTCTAGGTGATAATTTTCACACACTCTTTTGTATTTTACCTACTCTATGATACCTAATGTTAAAACTGATCAGTGACAACTGGTACTTTAGTATGTTTTCTCCCGTTTTTAATAGCAAGTGCAAATTAACAAATGCTTTTAAAACAATCCAGGTCTGGTCGATGGCCATACACATCCTGTGTGGGAGGGCGATAGAGTCCATGAATTTGCCATGAAGGTAATGTAACTTACTTTACAAGAAGTTAAATTGTTATACTAACTATGAAACCTCAGTGTAACAGAGTGGAAAGGCACTGAAAGCTTACTTAATGACTCATCAACTGCACTTGGCAAACTTGTTTCTTCTTTGCTGCAAAATTCTGCAGCTTGCAGGGGCAACTTACATGGACATTCACAAGGCGGGTGGAGGAATAGGATTCACCGTAGAACGTGTACGAAAAGCTTCTGAAGAGGAACTTTACACATCCCTCAGAAAACGCCTGCTTAGAATGCTGCGATCAGGGACAACATTAGTAGAAGCTAAGAGTGGATATGGCTTGGAAGTGGAGTCTGAAATGAAGATGCTTAGAGTGATTGAGAAAGCCAAAAAAGAGCTTCCAATTGAGATTTCCAGTACATTCTGTGGTGCACATTCTGTGCCAAAGTATGTACTAGGTACCAGACATTTTAGATGACCATTTTATGACCTGCATACATTTTTGTGTTTTTGTTTATGTTTTTGTTTTTTGAAGAAGCATTTACAACAGTGTTGCCTGGAAAGAAAAGCCTTAATTATATTAGGAATATATATTATTATAGTTTATACATGTACGGCATAAAAGTTCAATTTGGGAGAAAGATATTTATAAACACTAAATTCTCATTCTACCACAGTGGCTTAACATTTCACAAGGACACTAACTTTCTAGTTACATGACAGTATAACAGCCTTTGACAGCTTTTTAAAAACACTTTTGATTTGTTTCAGCTAATGTTTCGTTCTTTAATGGCAGATTGGTGAAATATTGTTATTTCATTATTGCTCTTTTCTGTAGAGGAAGTTCTCCTGAAGAAGCTACAAACAATGTCATCAACTGCCAAATTCCAAAGCTTCAAGAACTAATGAAAAACAATGAATTGACTGTTGATAATATTGATGTGTTCTGTGAGAAGGGTGTATTTGGTGTAGGACACACAAGAAAGATCCTTGAAGCAGGGAAATCTGCTGGGTTGGCCATCAATTTTCATGGCGATGAATTGCATCCAATGAAAGCTGCCGAGGTAAACTTAGAGTTCAACCTCATTTATGTTATGGTGGAGTTTTGATACATAGTTTAAAAATAATGCTGCAAAAGTTTGTCAATCATTTGAAAGTCAACTTATTTATTTATTTATTAAGTTTGGTTACTTTTGTGACTAAAATTTGCAAACTTGCTACTAAATTTTTGTATCGGGTCTCCAAAAAGCAACTAGATTTTTTTTATTATAAGCCCTGAACATGTATTCTATGAATCAACACCATGCAGGGCTGATAGTATTATCAGCAACACACCACACAGCTATCCACAAAGGTTTGATAGAATGTTGACACTGTCTCTCTGTCTGTCTTAAATACATGTATTCCTTGTTGTCTTTCAAAGCTGAACTGTTAATATATACACGTGAGTGTTTGAATGCAGCAATACCTGAATTATGAACAGTTTTGCCTTTGCTTTTACTGAATTATATTTTGATAATTTTCTTAAGTTAGGCGCAGAGGTTGGTGCCAGAGCAATAAGCCACCTTGAAGAAGTGAGTGATACGGGAATACAAGCCATGGCTGCTGCTTCTGTTGTCGCTGTACTTCTTCCTACCACTGCGTATATTTTGCGACTTAAATGTCCTCCTGCTAGGAAAATGATTAATGCAGGTAAATTGTTGAGAAATAAATATTAAAGTATTTGGCGATCTTTGATTGCCTTTTAAGCATGCTAAGGATACCTAGACGTTTTGTATGTATGATACTGGCAATTTAAAATCAATGAAACAATAAATAGGGATGTTTTATTTAATAATAAAAATGATGATAATAATAATTATTTATTTATTTATTTATTTATTTATTTATTTAACACTCTAGATGTCAACTTTAAAAATCCCAAGATAATTTATTAACACATTGACTGACAATTTTCAACTTCACACAGGTGTTCCCGTTGCTCTTGGTACTGATTTTAACCCCAATGCATTCTGTCTTTCAATGGTAAGGGCAATTTGTTCATGATAATATTCACAATCAACGCAAATCAAACCTGAGTCATTTATAGTCTCCTAGCCAGTAACCAGTATAGTCACCTGAAAATTATCACACCCAAACTACATTGTCTAAACCTCAGTGATTTCGTTATAAGTGTAGGCATTTGCATGTGAGGAACTCACGTGCGTTCTGTGTAGTTTCACATCGAAGGGATATTTTTGTCTCTTCCAGCCTTTAACAATGCACCTTGCCTGTGTTAATCTGCGCATGACAATGGAGGAGAGCCTGGTAGCCGCAACAATTAATGCCGCAGCGTCCCTGGGAAGGGCGCACAGCCACGGCTCACTGGAACCTGGAAAAGTGGCAGACATGCTAGTTATTGATGCACCAAGGTATATGGGGCTAGTCCCCCAGAGGTGGGGGTGGGGGGGGGGGGGGGGGCAAAAACTTTTTGGGCCCCAAACTTTTCCCTTTTTTGTTTCCCGGGAATTATTGTGTTTTGTTTTTTTTTTTTTGTTTTTTTTTTTTTAAGGGGGAAACATTTGCCTTTTTAACCTGTGGGCCTTGTTGGAACACACAATTTTTTTTAAAAAAAGAGAAAAATTTTTTACA